GGTTGGGGCCAATCCTCCTCGATTAATTTACATTTAAAGTATTTTTCGTGGCGAGCCGCCGCCATCGCCGCCGCCGCTTTGAATTCAAATGACCCGCCGTGAAATTAATTACGAGGCCGCGTAACGGCCGGATGAGGGGGGAAAAATACTACCACGTCCCTTGACAGTTTTTATTTATCGTCGAATGGAATGGTGCACGCGACGGTGGCCAGGAAAATTAGGAGAATTCAAGAATTATAATTATTATTATTATTATTATTCTTTTGAGAGAAGAAAGTCGAGTTTTGCGATGAATCGAAATTTAAAACGCGAGCAAGTGGAAATAGCTTACCGGTCGGATAAATTATTCACCAGCAGGTGAAGTGAAAATAAATAGTCGGCCGGTCGGATAAGTAGAGTGAAATGATCGTGGTTACAACAAGTAGTACGGGTCGGCCACTTATTCGGATAAATGGAATTATAGTTGAATATGGGTAGAGCAAGAGGAGGAAGGGGGTTATGTTTGACAAAATTAATATAGCAAATTTCTAATAAAATTGAACGAAACGAAACATTGATTGATATTGGAAAAATAAAGTTTTTGTACGCTTTAACTATCGATGGAGGTAAGAAGAAAGTTCGTATCATCGATGATAAGAACATTGTCTCGATGGCAAATAGAAAAGTTTGGAACTTGGAATTTTTTCGCTTAAGATGGTGATTTTAACGGAATAGTTTTTTTTTCTTTCCAAGGGAACTCGTTAACTCGATATTCTTCTGTATAAAATAATTTTGAATTTCTTTTTTTTTTTTCTCGTTGCAAAAACGTTTCATTGGAATTAATCTTCCTGCAACCGTAAACACTTGGTCCAATCGGATCAATCGGGAGGGAAAAAACCGAAGTCAAATTGCACGCGTTATTCGGGAATTTCGGGCATTTGCGAAAAATTGCGAAAGCTGCTGTGCCGCTTTGATAATATCGCCATATATTTTATTTAAAACGCGATAAAGCTTTTCGTCCCAGTTTTATATCGAAAATTTGACGTTGCGGGATGTGTGAAATATTTTATTACAATTTAAAATTTTTATCCTGAAGAAACGATACACCCTTTAAAAATTCCCCCCTTCCCAGTTTAATTTTAATATTTTTTTGGCAATAAAAAAGAGAGAGAGAAGGAAGAAGTAAAAATGAAAATAAAGAGCGTGATTTTGATCGCGAATAAAGAAAAAAACGAAAGGTTTGCAAAGGGTGGCCAAAAAGTGGATGCACGCAAGGAGAGATCGTAGTAGAAATGGGTCAAACGTCAGACGATGTCTTCCCTCGAGAAGACGTGCCACTCTTCTCGGCAAAAAGCAACACTGGATACGCCACCTATTAGGAACACTTTGAAATTCACCTTCTCTCCCTCCCTCCCACTCTTTCTTTCTCCTTTTTTTCTCCACGCGAACAACGCAATTCAACCGTGCACATTAAAATTCCTCTCTCGCGTGTCACTTCGAGGCGTCGATAATGGGCAAGCGAAGAAAGGGACGCACAAGAAGAAAATAGAAGGGGGAGGGCGAAAACGATCGTAGGAAGAAAAGTAGAGAATAAATCCATCTAAAAATCTCAAAGATAATAAGAGAAGGCGCGTAAAGAAAAAGAACAAGAGGAAATACGAAGCAGGAGAATAAATTTGCGACAAAGTGATGGCGATGGAAGAGAAGCGTGGCGTTCAAAATTTCTTTCCGACTTGGGATCATCGATCGAATTAACGACGAGAACGAGAGCTGCTGCGATGCATTTAAGTCGAGTTACATCGTAGATAGAAACGAGGCAGATTACGACGAATGAATAGCCGTCCTTTGAATTGGGGACCGTTCGTCACAGTGACTCGTCGATGGAAGGGCGGCGCAAAACGAATCGCGACAGACGGATGGACCGCGAGCGATGCATCAACGTGAATTTTCCTCGAATAGCCGTTTACGTTTTATGAGATCGCGGAGAGAAACGTGTTTCACGATGAATTTTCTTTTCAAAGAAATTCTTTCCACCGGGTAAGTGTAATCTCGCTTACTAGGGAAAAATTCTATTCCTTCGCGCGGTTAATACGATTTCTTCTTTCTCCTCTTCTTCTTCTTCTTCTTTTTTTTCTTCTTCGTCCACGTGTCGTTTCATTCCGCTTCTCTCGTCTTCGCTCTTTCTCCTCGGTTTATTTATTGCGAGAACGGTACGATGGAGACAACAACAGGGATAAAAAAGGAAAGATAAAGATAGGAAGAGTTATTATACGGATCGGAAAAATTGGTTAGACAAATTGGCCATTGGGAAAATAAGAAACAATTGAACGCGGATGGATAATTAGTACAACTAAATCGAATTTCCTTCTGTATCAGCTGTTTCATTTTTCCTTTAATTCCATTGCTATTTTTGCATTTCAAATCTTTTTTGAACCAACAACTCCACGCGTACCAATTCGTTGAATTTCTTAGCCAACTTAAAACGATTTCACGAATTAACGTATAAAACTTTTATATTCTAATATTTTACGTATCTTTACTAAAGAAAAAAAATTTTGTGTGATATTTTGCATCCTCGGTTTATCAAATATCGCAAACCTCACAATAATGTGCTCCCACCGTCTATCATTCTTATTTTTCATTCCTTCTATATTCTTCTTATACTACATCTCTATACTTCTCTCTATCGTCAATTTCTTAACGAATAGAAATAATTTCGAATATTAAATAACGAGAAATCGAACTCATCTTCGCTCCAACTAATTTCATTACCGTATTGCTTACAAAACTTTGAAAATAATATTTCTAATTCTATTTCAATGCCGAAAACGTAGTTCGATCCCCGATATCATAATCCAATTTGAGATAAAAAATCTCTAATCATTCGAATATATTATTCCACGCTCTACAAGATTAAATACGTAAAGAGCATAAAGAATGTGATATTTTTAAGAAAGTCGAACGTAAATAAATATCGCCGCATCGATCCAAGATGATGAAGAGTCACTCGAGTTATCGAATCGAGGTCCACCACCTTTCGAGCGCAAATGGTTAACTTTCCTGTACGACCATACACAACCGTGTATAATAATTCGCGGAGGCAGAGCAAAGTAGGGAAAGTGGGGAAGAAAAGAAAAGGGTGGGTGGAATTTAAAATTACGCGCGTCGAGGGTCGTCGTAAATTCGTTTCCCCGGCCGCAATTTTCCGGATTATGCCCGCGGCCTTCCGGCAAACTTTTCGATTACAATGAGCCTCCCCTCCCCCTCTGTAAATTCCCAGGAACCAGCTGCGTCCACCTACCACGCGATAATTTCCAACTAGCCAAGTGTGATTACACTTTCCGCGCCCAGCATGGATGGAAATCCCATCGATACTCGATTTCATTGTTCGGAGCTTGGACTCGGTGGATCGATTGGAAAATTTAATTTCAGAGCGGGGAGAATCTCGTATTGTACGAGATTTTAATTTTGACGCGCGAGATTCGAGCAATCTAATAGTTGGAAAAGAAAATTTTTAGGTTTTGTTTTCACTTTGTTTCAGAGAATCGAAATGAACGAATACGAGGAGGAAATTTATTTAAATTATTGCAGCAACGAAAAGAAGAGACTCTTGTAAAAATTAAAAAAACTAGAGGAGAATTTCGGTGTAAAATTGGATAGTGGTTGGTAATTTTGAGAAATGGTTCGTTGCTGTTTTCCACTCGAAAGGAGGACGATAGGGGGGAGTTTATTGAGATATTTTTGAAACGAGTTCGACGAAAAAGCTCGATGGTCGCTTGAACGGGAACGAGGAAAGGAATCTGGACGCGGCTTTTCGAAACCGAGGAGACGAGGGGGGAACGAGATCGTAGAAAGATAGGATTACGAGGAAGAGGGGAGGAGGAGGAATTCAACTTTGTCACGACACTTTGTCGCTCCGCTTTGTATCCCTTTCATTCTTCGCTTTATGCGTTTCTTCCTTCTTGTTCCTTAACGAGTGGCTCTCCTAATCACTAGGCGATAGGCAGAAACGAGGTCGAATAATATTACACTTCCAGTTTTCCAAAATTCAAAAGTTCTTTTCTTTTTAAATATAACACGAGAAAAAGTCAAAACTAATTTACTTATCGTCACTATTGCAAGATAATGAAAATTTGTCCATGAAAAATTATATCTGTTTTAATGTCTTTGCCAAAATTTATACTTGCCAGTTTTGGAAAGGATAAGGAATTAAGGATGGAAAGAGGAAGGTAGATTATATAATCTCGAGAATAAAAAGAAGATACACTCACCTCGGGGCATAGTTGCAGACGTACATAAAGAAATCCTTTCCAAGTGGTCCTCTGCCACCGGTACAGTGGCTCACGCCGCAGCCCACCAGATGCGTGGTCGCCCACGCGATTTGGGTGTAATGCCCGATTTCGTGTAAATCGTTCGCCTCGTCGTCCCCGTATTTGTAATCTTTGTACTCCATGTACCACATTCTGATCGGGAAATTCCTGGAAAAAAAGAAATAATACTTCGAAATAAGCGATCAGTTAAAAAAAAGTCGATGATGCCTCAAACTGATGTTACACTCGAATGATCATTTACTGTCATAGCGCTGTTTAATCGTTTACGTCATCAGCTTCGAATGAACGAATGAGCGATTTAATTGTAATTTAATTGTAATTATATTTTGATGCAAATTATTGTATACTTGCTGAATTCTATCTATATTCTATGTTCTATATTTTAACTGATTTGGAAGAGACTGTCGCTTGGCCTTGGTTTTTCCTCCAATCCTTACTTTTTATGAAAATGCTAAGAGGAGGTTAGAGGGATAGTCACATTGGAGAGTGGTTTCGAAGATTGAATCCTCGCACAAATTATTTTTTCTGATTTTATGGAGCTTATATGGAGATATAATAGTTCCAATATATATACGTGTATTTTGTTCAATCATTGTGAACAAGTTTAAAAAGAGGATTTAAAATTTTAACATATAAGACTTTTAACGTATTATAATTGAAACAATTATTTTTTATAAATTTAAAAATGAATTTTCTGCACTAGATATACGTTATTCGAATCAATGTGGTGTTTAAATTGCAAAGGATCTAACATTAGGAAGGTACTCGAGTTGTTGAAAATAAGAACCGTGTCTTGCCATGCTTTTCAAGCCATGCTTTTCAAACCTTCTACATCTGTCCTTAACACGATCAAACGTGTAAACGTGAGCAATGAATTCTTTCATCGTAAATCGATAATAATCGAGAGAATTATTTGCGTTGAAATTCTCTTCTCCTTAGAGAGAGAAAGAGAGGAGCGAGAAGAAGAGAATCAAGTCAATTAAAAATATGTGTATAGATAGAGACAAGCGAGTCTTGATCGGAATTCGAAAAGAAAATGCGGAAGTGGCGTTCGATTCGGTTCGATTCAATTTGATTCGGTTCGCTTCGGTTCGATTCGGTTCGATTCGGTTCGGTTCGGTTCGGTTCGGTTTGATTCGGTTCGTTTCGGTTCGATTCGATTTGGTTCGGTTCGGTTCAGTTCGGTTCGGTTCGGTTCGGTTCGGTTCGGTTCGGTTCGGTTCGGTTCGATTCGATTTGGTTCGGTTCAGTTCGATTCGGTTCGATTGGATGTCGAACATCAACAGGTGGTTCTCTAAGGAGAGCGACGAATGCGAGAATGAGTTATCGTTAGGCAGAAAAATAGAACAATGTCGGATCGAGCTCGAACTTTTCTGTCTGAACAATAACACCCTTTTCCACTATTGCCAGTGTTCCGTGTATTTATATAAATTTATTCGTACGGGGACGATGAATAATGTATCGTATCAGGAATCTCTCTCCTCAAGAAATAGTTTTTCTCGTTTCAAAAGTTGAAAATTTAAAAAATTTTATTTCGTCGTTCTAGAAAGAATTTTCGCTGAGCTTTTTTTTTTTGTATTTTTAACCGTTCGAAATTCGAAGCGTTCAAAGTGATCGTAGATAGATTGCGATATTTTAAATATTGTTTAATTTGTATCGTTCTGGTTAATGATAGTAAATATTGAAATTCACGAAATGGTGATTTCGTTAATATATAATATATAGAGAATGAGAAAGATAAAGAGTTAAATTTGATCGAATATGGAAATTTAATTAAAATGCAGATAATTAATTAAGCGATTAAAATGCACGAAATATAATTAATGGATACAGGAGAGGAGATCCTTGACGCAAACAGCGTGACAAATTATAAATCTGACTCGATTTATTCTATGATTGCTTTTTTTTTTTTTTTTTAATAATTGAAATTTTTTTTAAAAATTGTCATGTTTTGTTACATTCGAAATGATATTTATGTTTTTGATCGTAAATATAATTTTCATAATTTAGAACGAAATATTTGACGTAAAAAATATATAACGAAAAGACGGACAGAATAATAATAATAATAATAATAAAACTAATCATTGTACAACAAACAGATGCTTTAAAGTTTGATAAATAATGACTCGTTCTTATATAATTATCTTTTTAAAAAAAATTTTTAGTACAAATATTTCGAAATCTAATTAAATTTCATAAATTCATGGGAATTAATGGAATTTTTAGTAATGAAATTACGGGACTAATAAATCCATTGAAAACAATAATAAACAATTATGAATTAATTGAAATGATATCGACGTGGTAACTTGGTATGGAAATAAGGAAGTCCATTTCTCATAGTTGCTCGAAATTCCATGCTCTATGCATCAGAATTACGCGGTTACTCGAACACATCATGAAGACAATCATCTCCCAGCAGCGCGAATAATCCTTCCTTTCGCCTCACGAATAATTTTGCGCTCTCGCGCAACTCGAGAAAGAAGATTTCTTCGATGTGAATTTGAATAATAAAAAATTTCGAGAATCGTAGTCGCGTATATTGTATTAAAATACATTCTCGACACGGAATATTTCTTTTTTTTTTTTTTTTTTTATTTCGAGCTTCGCTTAATTTTAAAAAGCTTAAGAAAGCTCGGAGAAGATCGAAAGAAAAAATTGACGTTTATTATATTTGTGAATTTGTAAAATATAATTTTTTCATTTTTTCTAAAATTTGTTAAAATAGTACGACGTACTAGATAATTTTGTTCGAAATTATAAAGAAAATTAATAGGGAAATGAATATAAATCGTATATTATATTCACTCGTTCCAGATTTAATAAGAATAGAGCAACGAATGTTGGTTAAACATCGTAGCTGGTGTACTTTCTGATGCACTTTGACTCGTAAATCGCTCGAAATCGTTTCTCGTCTGAAAGAGGTATCCCAGTAAAGCTTCGCGATCTTCGACGTCTTCGAACGAACCTTGGAACAAATTCAAAGGCAACAAGGTGCTACGGTGCCTCTTTCACGGAGAAACTGAGTTATCTTAAAATTCTATAAAATAATTCAATCCCCGTAATATTCATTTTGATCCACTCCTTTGTTCTTCTAAGCAAAGGAAGATTAAATTAAACCGATATACAACCTAACCGTTATACAACCTAATTTTTACAGGAAATATTTATAGGAAAAATTTTCAAATTTTTTCCCCAATTTCTCTGATTTTTAAGAATCGTGAAACATTTAAAATGTGTGCACTCACCACAATGTCCTTCTCGTCGTAATGAAGATGTTTTGTCCGCTCTGGCCGAAACCATCCAAATATAGGCCAGTCGCGTTGTCGTGTACCAATCCAAGGCATCGATTGGCCCATCTCTGCGCAGCTTTGGCCAAGCCTGGATGCCATTTCTGAAACAGCGTACCAATGTTTTCCTAATAATTTACATACATTAATCGAAAATTTGGGAAAACGAAATTTCAAATTCAAATGCAAATCAGGGAACGGAATAGGTGAATGTTGGATGAAGTTCGCAAACGTATCGGGATATGGTAAAAATCCGGAGAAAAAGAGAGAGAATGGAAGGTATTCCGAGAGTGCATGACTAATTTATTAAAACGAATTGTCACGAATTCTTCAAAATAATTCTAAAAATATTCTAAAGAAAACGTAAACATATATATTTAGAAAGAAACAAAAAAACGAGGAATCAGAACGAGAGAGTCAGACAGGAGGAATAATAGTTAGAAAATTATTCGTCCATAAAAATATTGAATAAAACGTTGGAGAGACAATTTTTAAGAAATTTCGCAAAAATAATAAAATCTTTTAAAGTCAAACAATTTTATAACTAGATACAATCTTGGCAAAAAATTTATCGAACCATTCTTCCACGATATTCCCATCCTCGATGAAACGAAAGCGACTGTAACGTCAAGTGCCACTTCGTTTGTTCCAACTCATCCCATTAATTTTCCACCCCGGTATCGTTTTAACGCGAGAGCGATCCTCATAAAAATTTATAACTCATCGCAGACCTTACATCCGGCTATCGAACCGGCTCGTACCTCCCCTTTAAGCTCCCTTGTAACAACGTCTCGATGACTTTCTCCCTCCCCGTGAACATTGCGAATTTTCCAGCCTCGTTCTATTCGCCAAGATTAAAACGACACAGAGGTAAGGTAAATGCGTCGTCGAGCCACTATCCTCGTAATGAAACACCGTGGACCAGTGTTTATTAAAATGCACGGCTTATTAGGAAAACCCTAGACGCGTTTATGTCGGTAATGTAAGTATTAGGAATAGTGCGAATTTTTAGAGTTCTAAAGTTTTAAAGTTTTAAATTAATTTTAAGTTTAGAGATCGTGCCATGAAATTTTATATCGATTTTCTTTGAAAGATCATCGGTACTAGCGGTACTAGGGAACCCTAGATATATTTATATCGAAGTATTTGAATATGGTGTGTGTGAATTTTTAAGTCGAAGATTTTAAGGTTTTAATTTAATTTTAAGTTTAGAGATCGTGCCATGAATTTTTATATCGATTTTGATTGATTTTCTTTGAATGGATCATTGGTACAACTTACTAGAGAACCCCAGATATATTTATATCGAGATATTTGAATATGGTGTGAATTTTTAGAGTCGAAAGTTTTAAGATTTTAATTTAATTTTAAGTTTAGAGATCGTGTCAAAAATTATTATGAATTTTTTATCGATTTTTGTTCATTTTCATTGATCAATTGATCATGCGCAATGAAACGTCGTAGATGAATGTTCATTCAAATGTACAGCTTACTAGGGAACCCTAGATATGTTTATATAAAGATATTACGATGTGAATTTTTGGGAGTTTAGAATTTGGAAATTAAATGTAATTCTATGTTTTTGAAATTAGAAGAGAAATTTTTACGAGTAGATTTTTGTTAATTTTCGAATTAACAAAAACGTACGTTGTTTGGAATTTCTATTTAATACGAATTAAACGGGCTGCTTTGTTTCAAAGTTAGAATCCATTCGTTAAATGCAGCGTTGATTCCATTAATGCATTCTACTCGTAGATGCTCCATAATTGTTCCAACTACGTGGACGTAAGATAATTGGACTAATTGCATTCGGTAAAGAGTCTGTGAAACTTTGCCGGAAGGAAGTTGGATGATTTTTCATCTACGCGTACCGCGTAATCAATTTTGCTCGAAACTCGTGAATCAACTCTCTCGACCTACAATTTTTCATTATTTTCAAATAACAAAAAATTGTAATTCCTACTTTTAACTACTCTTTTTCACAAAATCACGTGTATCGTTCACAATTCAAAATTAAATTATGAAAAAAAAAAAGGAAACAAACATCGCACTTTTCACGATTTCTACTACATCTTCCTGATACTCGCATTAATTCCATCTACGAAATTGAACAAAGTTTTCCAATATCTCCCATCCCATATAATAATCTCCATTTAATCGATTTCAATCGAAACGCATAAAACTCGTGGATCGGCTCGATTTTATCTCGTAAAATCGGCGAAACGTTTTCACGGCCTAACAAGCTACCCAAGTATCTTTGCCGTTTCGCTTTAATCAACGTCCAATTACCAGCACGGAAAGTTTTTCTATCGGGTGGATTAAAATGCGTGTTACACCGTTCCCGGGTCAAAAAATTGAATTATATCGCTTTCAACGTTATTACGGGAATTATCGAGAAGCTTTCTCACCCCCTCCCCCTCCCAACGTGATTCTGTTTCCTTTGTTATTGCCCCCTGGATAACCTTCTTTTCGCTCGTCCAAAACTTTTTTACTCGATGAAAATCTCGTGGAAATCGCCAACTTCCTTCTTCTCCTTGATTCTCTTTACGAGATCTCGAGATTATTTGTAAAGAAGAGAATAGAAGAAGAGGAAGAAGAAGAAGAAGTAAAAAATTATTCTTTACCCTTCGCGTAATTTAAAATCTCTAAGTTCGTAAATTCATCCTTTTCATCTTGCCTCGAAGACGTTTTTTTTAACGTTAAATTTGAACGTTGTAAATTTGAAAAATTCTGAAGAGGACGAAAAGAGAATTCATCGATTAAATCGATAAAATCAATGATTGTTTCTTCGTCCTGCTTCGTTCAACAACATTCGCGTGAATAGGATACTCTTAAAATTGAAATT